TGTGAAAGGAATATGCAGAAAGCTATACATAAAGGACCTTGGATCTTAGGAGTTTGGATCTGAATGTTAAATAAAATGCAAATTAGATGATTCTGGGATGTTGCCTGCATTTCTTTGATTCTCTGAATATCTTAAATCAAGAAGCGAGTTGAGCTGTTGCATAATTACAGCTAATATTTGCACAGTGCTCTACAGCATACAAGATGCTACTACGCTCTCATTCAGTGCTCACACAAGTCCTATGCAGGAGAGATGATTACATTCCTGTGGCGAAGCTGAGCCACCCCAGACTGTAAGATAAAATAATTGTCTCTGTAAGTGGGAGTGTTAGTTGGTGCCTTACATCAGGCAATATCCCACAATCATATCAGCATCCCAGAATCATAGCACTCGTGCATCTGCTGTGTCCACTAGACATCTCTGCAAACATCGGTTATGTGTTATCTGGGCCCGCTCTGTGCTTCTGACTCTGAGGACGGTGACTCCATCACCAGGGGAAAGTCCAACCTGACTGTGACAGGGAAAGCGAACCCAGACCCAGTCCATTGCCCAAAGCACCGTCCCAAGAATCCGGTGGCCCACATGCCCCCACACCTTCACTCTGACAGACAAGGAGCCTAAGTCCTAACACCCGAGATGGGCTTTTGTTCTTGGAGTTATGTCTTCTCTTCTCAGGTTATTGATCCTTCTCGAGCTAGATGTATGTCCAAGTGGTATGGGCATGTGGGCCCCTGGGTCCTCAGTAGGATGCTGAGGACAACCGACCGGGTCTGAATCTCCTTTCCTGTGTCATTGCAATGAGTAAATCCCAATGTTTCTAATTGGAGCCCTTGACTCAATAAACAACAGCCACAGTTTCATGAGAGACCATTTCTGTTAGGTAGAATGTTCTTCAAGAGTAGTGTAGCCCCTGAAAGGGGCAGTAAACATCGCATCATTTTGTCACGAGGGAAAGGAGATGAAATATATTTCTATATTTAGCTACCCTTGTCCTGAGTGTTTGACATCTATTTTCTCAATTCCTTAGGGTTTGACTAGACTCCCAATACTGTCTCATGTCCTGCAGTCATTGTTCCATCCAAACCTACTGTAGCTTTCAGGTAATTGACTCAGGTACAGGGCTTCAAACGGGTTCTTTCTGGTTCAGGTGTGACTGAAGAGACCAAACCAGAATGGAGCCACATCTGTACAATGTGAATGAGCGGGAAGTAGTAACCAGAAGGGGAAGAATGATGGGCTGCTGCCCTACTGGAGGCCTTGGTTTCCTCTTCCAAAGCAAGGGCCACATGGGCCATGCCTTGCAACCAAAGCTCTTGATCTGCACAATGAGCAACAAGATGCCCTGCTCAAGGATGGCACTCGCCACACACAGTGCTTACATGAGTCCAGTCTCTGCATCAGGCTCCTAAAGGGTCTCAGTAGGTCTGTCTCAAGTATCTCATTCCAGGACCTTAGCTCATATTTGTTCCTGTTCAAGTTACCATGCTACATGACTCAATTTTTAAAAATCTGAGTCAATTCTGATTTCACCTCGTCAGCCACGACTAACTTGGTCTTAGTTGACTGGAAGCCGTGCCTTGGTAGCTGCTAGAATCATGTTCCAAAATATTTGACAATCTCAGCCAAGCAGCATAAATACCCCTTTAAACGATAGAATTCCACAGCTAATACTTGGATATGTTTCCACATATGTTCTTTTCAGTCTGTTACCTATTTTTTTTTTTTAGGCTTGACTGTTTCCCACCCAGGTATTATGACAGCAAAATCATACAAGGGAAGAATTGTACGAGGAAGCCAAATCCATTCCAGTCTCTGGGGACACATTAATAGTTCGAAACTGGGGATATTAAGAATACTTAACTTCCATTACATCCTTATGTGAAAGTCGGGGCTGCTACAGAACTGTAGAATCATCTTCTTGCACGAAGTGCTTCTGAGCTGAAACTGCGCATTAAGCCCGAAAGAGATGCTTTCCTGGGGCCCTCAGGAGCGTGTGTGAACGAGACCCATAGGCAGAGATGATATGGCCTCTCAGCTTTAATCCTGAAGAGCCTGTCTCACACAGTGCTTTGCTAAAATACCTCAAAGGGAAACATTCTTAAAGGCAAGGGAAGAATGAAAGAACCAGAGAGACTCTTTTAAAATAGGAAAACTATATAACATTTGTATGTCTGTCCAAATACTCATAGATGCCAAGGTGATAGAAGTCTAAGAAGTATCTAGTCCAACCTTCTGACCAACTGTGGTGGTTACGTTCTTCCATCTCAACTTGAAGATGGATAACAGTGTCGGAGTGGTATTCAACCTTTCAATCAGGTCACGGCCTGATGGTAACTCCTTGTGGGCATGGCCTTCTCATATGGAGAGTCCTGGAGACCTCCCCTTCTGTCTCTCTGCCTTCACCTTCCTGCTCTGGGGTCTCTCTGAGACCTGAGAGAACCGTGTGATGCTGTAATGCTTCCACTGCCATTGGATCTACGAGACTTTCTCTCCCCCAACACACACACACACACACACACACACACACACACACACACACACACACCAGCCTGTGATCGTCCAGCATTCTGCATCATTGCATGTGGTGATGTGAGTCTGAAGAGGGACTTACAGCCTAGTATCAGACTTATGGACTTGAGTTGCACTGGGCTGGGATGTTTGCTTGATATAAAACTACTTGATATAACGCTCCCTCTCTTACACGTATAGGAGTGTCACTGGATTTGTTTCTCTAGTCAACCTGGCCTCAAAACAAATACATGCCACATTTTGCCAACAGTGTGTAGTTCTGGCCGAGCTTGTTGTGGTTAGATGCTTCCCAGTCAATTTCGACTCACAGAGACTCTACCCAACAGTGTAGAACTGCCCCAGATGGTTTTGTTGGCTGTTGTCTTTATGGAAACAGGCCCATCTCTTACAGGCACCCTAGGGAGGTTCAGAGTGCCCACCTTGTGGTTAGCAGGTGGCCACTTAACAGTTGCACTGCAGGGCTCTTTCTGATACAGTATATCTCTTCAAGGTCCCGAGCACAAAGACCACTATCTCATAAGGAAAATAGTCGACTATTCAGATCATTCGAATTGACCTGACATTGAACGACATTGAACGGAGTTTTTCCTGACATTGAACGAAGCATCTTCTTATTCCTCATTGGTCCTAGTTCTCCTCTCTAGAGACATGTAACAGCTTATTTAACCCGTCATCCATAGGATGATTCTAAGTATTTGAAAGGAGTTGACGATAATCATCATGGTTGATAGAAATGTTGGCCTTCGTCATCATCACCAATAGTAATACAGTAGCACAGACTACTGTTGCCTGAGCAATCCCTCGAAGTCTGTGTTAAGCACTTCGCATCTTTTGCTCCCAAATCCTCACAACTCCTTGATGAAGCAGACACACTTCAAAAATGCGTCTTGCAGATGAGGAAACGTGATGATAGAGATGAAGGAGTTTTCCCTAGAGAGCCTGGAGAGCTCACCGGAAGCAGAACAGGATTGAAATGAAATTGTCCCAGAAGAGGGACCCTACGCAGTCTCCTCTAGGGGAAGGATAGTGAGCCCTGTCTTGATTCTCAGGATGACGGCAGCAGGCCTAAGAACTGAGAGGAGATTCTTACAGGAGGCTTTTTGCAGGAGAAATCTAGGATCCACCACCTTCTGCACCACAACTGTTCCATATGTATTCTCCTGCACAAGGACATCCTTGGAGTAAACTATTTTTTCACCAGGTCTTAATTTCACCAGTTAAAAATTCTACCGACATCTACAGACAGCCAGGCATCATGTGCATAGGAAACTGCAGCTCAGAAGTCCCCATTCACTGGTCTCCTGAGTCTTCAAGCTGATCCTTCACAAACTGAGATAACTCAGTCAGGAGAGGTCACTTACTGTAGAGTTAGGAACAGCGCTCACCATCTATCAGCTGCTTCATGAATATGCATTGAATGAATCAGTGGAGGAATGGTTGCCCTCCACAGTGTAATTTTCAGAGCTGAGAATGGCAGAAATGTTGCTGGCTACTTCAGTAGTCACTACAATATGTTTCATTGTAAATTTGCATTCGTCATTGTAAATTATATTTATATTTCTCTGTTGATTTGACATCTTGAAGACTTCTTAAGTTACAGTTTTATTGAGAATAGCATTTTTGATATTATGTATATGTATTTTTTGGGTGCATGAGTATCTAGTATAATTTCCATGGAAATGTCAGATTATAAAAACCTCTGAATTACAACAGTGGGAAGTCCAGTCTTCTATGTAGGAGGCTCAGGAACTATGAATCTCTATTTCCTAAATTCTCTGCCTCAGGAACTTGAAGGGAAAAAATAGTGGCATTCTTGTTCTTATAGATTGTGACATAATATGTTTCCATAACAATGGAAAAGAAACAGGGTAAAGCTGAAATATGAGGTTTAAAGAAACAATGGATTTGTGAAGAGGAAAAGCAGGTCATAGAGTAAAAGTGAGGGAATATATATTTAAGTATCAAAGCCCGGTCTTCTATAACTAAAATGCATGACTCTTTAAATAGAAAGCCCTTTGGTTAATTCTGTATGGTGAAAAATAATCTGTCCCAAGGCTTCAAGTACACAGCACTTCACAGACACCAGTTTAGGAAGAGGTGGCTGAATTATTATTTATTCTGCAGTACAGAGATGCTTTCTATTGGTATTTAGCAGTTATAAGGACCCAGGGAAGGGGCTCTGGTGGTGTAATGGGGTTAAACTTTGGGCCGCTAACCTCAAGATCAGCAGTTTGAAACCACCAGCTGCTACAAGAGTAAATGATGAGGCTTTCGACTCCCATAAAGATTTGCCGTCCAGAAAACGCCCAAGCGCAGTTCTAGTCTGTCCTATAGGGTCACTCACTGTGGGTCAAAATCCACTGCATGTCAGTGAGTTTGTTTAAAAAGGTCAAAGGGTCGCCATGCAAGTTTGTCAAATCTGTCTTTTTATTCCATGCTGATGCTATTTGGTTTTCTGTTGCATTTCCTAGGTTTGCTGGAATGGGGAACCTGCTCAAAGTCCTTACCAGGGAAATCGAAAACTATCCACATTTTTTTCTGGATTTTGAAAGTAAGTTCCTAAAATCAAAAGACCACAATGGAAAGGTTACACTTTCCTCAGAACTTGTGAATAAGGAAGTTATAGCAGTGATTTTATATGATGTTTAAACCAAATTCAACTGTTCTTTGGGACGATTTATTTCGGAGTTTCATCAAAGTTCATGTTTCTTTTTTTTAATTCTTACTGTTTTAGAAACTCAGTTGCTCAAATGTGTTCATTGTTTTCTCTTATTTGTGAGTCTCACTGCAAAGTCATCATCATATGTGTTTCCTAATAATGTTTATATCGCGTCTCAGAGAAAAACAACAAATACAGCAACATCTAAGATTAATGTACAACAAGTAACACTAGAAGTGAATGTAAGAGTAATCAAATAGAGCAATTAGTTTGCAGGTAATGTAGGTTTTTAGCATCTCCATCTCTTCATTATATACTATTTGCACAATGATACTCATTTTTTATCTGAAAGATTATATTTCCTTATTCAAAATTTTATTTTTTCCCCCTTAAGAATAAAATGGCTTAGGATTCAGAATGGAATAAATACCAAGATGGTTTCTTATCTTGTTCATTTTATTAATTGAATCCATTTATAAATAAGTGGCACAATCATTGGCAATCACCCTAAACGTAGGCTTTCACCTTCACTCTTAAATGCCACCCTCTGTAAAAATCATAATTCCAAATCACAGCAACAGGTACATATTTTTTTTTTGTATTTATCATTGGTTTCTAAAGCATTTTATCCAGGTTTTCAAAAGATAATAATGGAACTTCCATACGTGTAGATTAAGCATCCTAGCAGAGATTTTATAAATAAATGCCAAGGTACACTTATGCAGAAGAAGTAAGCTCCCTAAAGGTATCTTGTAGTGTTTTTTGGTTTGCTGAAAATAATTGTGTAAAATCAAAATGTGGCCCCAAATATCATGTATTCTGAAAAAATCCTAAACCTCGATGCCTCTCACTGTATGATAGCTCACTTCTCATATGACTCAAGATGTGGTTTCTGCTGCTACTTTTTTTGTTGTGAAGGTTGTCCGGTAAGGGTTGGACAGCTGACCACAAGGTCGGTGATTCAAACCCACCAGCTTCGCTCAGAAAGAGGAGGCTCTCTGCTCGTGTAAAACTTTACAAAGCCACAGCAACTTCATGCAGGGTCACTGTAAACTGGGATCGACGTGACGGCAGTGAATTCTAGCTCTTGTTTCTGTGGGGTTTGGTTTAGTTTGGTTTAGTAAGGAATCCAATTTGGAACTCAAGAGGCAGATTGATTTGAAACTCCAAATGGACTGTGTGTTTCTACTGGATTCATTCTCGGCTATGCATCAGTATTAGTCTAGATACTTTGGAGAAACAAATCCATAGCAACTCATGTATAAGAGAGAGTTTTATGTAAAGAAAATGTGCATCACGAAAACATCCCAACCCAATGCTGCCCAAGCCCACAAGTCCAACATTAACCCATTAACCCAACACCAGTCCACAAAGTCTTCCACCTCACAAAACAGAGGCAATGATGCCGACTGCAGGAGAAAGCTGAGTCAGTGAACGAACAAGCATCTCAGCACTAGCAGGGGTCTCCACACGGCTGCTCCAGCACCCAGGGCTGCATCGGGATAGGTCCATGTAGCTTCTCCTTGGGGATGTCTTGTAGGAAGTCAATCTTGCAAGCTGAAGCAGGGAACTGCTAAGGCAGCTGCACCCGGTGCAACCATCACAAAACAAGAGACCCGAGAACTACAAAGGCGAGGCTTCACCACCCATTTATCCCTCCGCCTTTCAATTAGGCCCACATTTGATTATCGGCCAGGTTGTCACAATTAACTAACTCAGCATCTAAAATAAATCCTGTTGCTATTATTGTTTTAAACATGACGATCTGTTAGTAACTTTAATTTTTATTTGTTTTACAACATGATTCCTCTTATCCCACAGTCTTACATTTACTATTTCTACTTCTCATTTGTCTCTTCCATTTCGTGCTCTTAAGCATCAGTGTGTGGCCAGAATGCTGTTAAAGGACTCTTTGCTCACAGGATAAGTCAACAACGAGGGAGATGACACCTTTGTTCTGTTTCTGGAAGCCACATGTTGCTGTGCATGCTGTCGAGGACTGACCCGAATTCGGTAGCCCTTATGTGGCAAATCAGCTGTGCTTGGATTTGTGGCGCTCCATGTTTGACCAAGGGCGGTAGTTGAGTTCTTTGCTACATCTGATTTTAAAAAACTGTGGCGTGGAAAAAGTAAACTCTTCAGAAATTTAAGAAGTAATTTTCAAAAGTGCTCTCCTCCAGGTTTCAGAGGCAAGGGCCCAGGGAATTCATTCCCCCTAAAATAGGTTGGAATCGCTAGAAAGGAGTCTGGGATTGGAATATAGTCCTTCCATCCTTGAACCAGAGGCCTCTGATTTGTTCAGCCTTGCACTTGGATAGTCTATCAACATTTTAACTAAAGAAAGGTCGTGGTGGCTGGCTTACTTATCCCATACTGTTATCACAGAAATACCATAAGAAAATAACTTAACAAGCAGAAATTTATTCTCGGCTGAATTCAAGGGAAGACTCTCTCTAATGTTGCCATAGAGCAAGGGTGGGGAACATCCCACCCATGGGCTTTATAAAAGCCCGCAAATTTGTCAATATCAGCTAACATCTCCCATCTCATTAAAGAGAAGCCATTCCAGCCATCATATTAAGGATGAATTACTTAAATGTTTGACCAAACATAAGATGTTAATTTTTAAGCGGATAATTTGTTATGGCCTACAAATGACGTTATAAGCATCCAAGAGGCCCTTGGTAGAAAACAGGTTCCCCACCACTACTCTACAGGAAGGTCTTTGTCTCCTCTCAACACCTGTGGGCATGACATCCCTGGCAGATCTCCTTGGGTCTTGACAGAATCTTGCCTGGGTCTTGAGGAGCCCTTGTAGCGTAGTGGTTATGACACGCTGCTTGCGCTCCTAACCAAAAGGTCAGCGGTTAGAAACTGCCAGCTGCTCCACTGGAGAAAGATGAGGCTTTCTACTCCCCTGAACAGTTACAATCTCAGAGACTCTCAGAGGGAGTGCTGCCCTATCCAGTGGGGTAGATGTGAGTTGGAAATGACTTGATGGCAATGAGCTTGAGGTTTACCATGTAGGACCCAAAAGACATGTCCACAGACATGTTCTACTCATCACTCTTCTTGCTCCCTGCTCTGCTCCTATGTCTACGCTTTCTAATCTCAAGATAAATTGATTTAAAATACAACTTAATCCTGTAGATTTCATCCTGTTTCATTCACATAATTATCACTAATCTTGCCTGATTGACATCATAGAGTTTGGAATTTGCAACATATAAGATAATGACAGTAAAACACTAACTGGAGTCCTGTTGACACACATTTTGATGGACACAATTCAATCCACAACAGTGACAAAAAGGAAGGTTTCATGATCTGGAATTTCAACAATGATCAGCAGCGCCAAAACTTGTAAAGATATGTTATAATCTACAGGTGTGATTTTTTTTTTCTTGAGACAGAAATGTGAACTGGATTCCATGTCTGGTGATTCATTACTAAGACTGGAGGTAGAGCATTTAAGGAAAACACAAATTAACAAAATATGTGAAATCCTGCTTATTTCCTTATCGATCCCAAAGAGTAGAGTAACTTTCTTTCACAAAGGGAGAGATGGAAACTTTGAGAAGGTCAATTACTGGGCTGTGTCACACACGGATCAATTAGGGGAACCGAGATGGGAATGCACATCTCTTTGGATTTCCTCTCCCTCCTGCTTCTCCTCCCTTAAGTGCCTGTCATCAGCACCTTCCTGGAAGTGCCCCAGCCCTCATTCTATCTCCAAAGAGCAGGTGATGTCTTAGTTGTATCCAAATTAAGACATTCACAACCAAAAGTTAATTGGATCATCTTTGTCTTCAAGAAAGTCGAATCATGGCCTCAGAGGGTAAAAAGTCAAATCAATCACGGCCTGAAAGAATAGGGAAGATGGGTGGTGCGTATGATTTTCCCTTGAGTCTGTAGTTTGCAGCTTACTCTGTTAAGAAGCAAACCTAAGCAGTGCCATCAGAGTTGAACAGGAGCCAAATGAAACCACTGTCCAGTATGGAATGTGACAGAGGCACTCAGCTCAAGGCAAAGTAGGATAAGGGACATCAGACAGGCACATCCTGGCGTGTGAGAAAAGAAGGAGAGAGTACACGTGTGCTTTCTGGAATTGGAGGGTTACAGAAGGTGTCAGGCAATCTTGTTGCCAGAGGTAGCGTTCGGAATAGACTTTCAATGATGAGTAAGATTTCTCTAGACACAGACAGGGAGGGACATTTTCAAAGAGGGGGAAACAGTGTGATCCAAGAGTTTGAATCTCATGAACATGTCTGAAGAACAGCAAGCAGTTGGTTCTAGATGGAGTATGAAATACTGGTTGAAAGGAAATGCGGGAGGAACTGGAAAGCTGGCCTGGGATAGCTCATGCCAGGTATGGATCCAGGCTGAGAAGCTCAAGGCTAGAGGTCTATCGGTGGGGTCCTCTCCAAAAAGAATCCCTGAAATCCCAGATGGAACGAGGGAGTGTCGGCACGAACCCAGCAGATTGGGACGTTAGAAGTGCTTGTATTTAAAGGGAGTAGCAGGAGAGCATCCAAGGGTCACTGTAGACTCTCTCGTGAGTGAAGAGGGACACTTAAATGGAGATTTCTAACGATGGGCCTGTTTCGTAATCCCACATTTAGTTGCATGTTGACCACTGGCCATTGTGCACGGAGTGAGCCTCAGGGATAAATGAAGTAACGGAGTGTGCGGCCTAGCGAGCTCAAGAAGGAGGAGCTATAAACAGATTGAAATGATGCTGAGCAGTGAAGGACTTCATACTTTAAAACGAGGATAGCTGACTGACGAGTGAGCTATCCAAGCACTGTTTACCACAGACAGAACAGTTTCAGGTTTTATTGTTTCGAGTAAAGTGCCTGGATTGCAAAGAGTTAAGGAGTAAGGGGTGGTGG